GGAGAGAGAATAGAACATGTGGTCAGACTTGGGTCCATGCTGGGCACCAGGGTGGAAAATCATAAAACAAGTCAGGATGGCAGGGACCACACTGGGTCATCTGAGCCAACCTCCCTGCTCAAGCAGGGTCATCTCAAATCACATTGCACAGGATTGTGTCCAGATGGCTCTGGGATACCCCCAGTGAGGGAGATCCCACACCCCCTCTGACAGCCTGTCCCAGTGCTCAGGCACCTGCACGTTAAAGAAGTTCTTTCCCATGTTCAGGTCAAACCTGGGAATCAGTTTCTGCCTGTTTCCTCTTGTACCATTGCTTGGCACCGCTGAGCAGAGCCTGGTCCGTCCTCTGGCACCTCCCCTCAGAGAGTGACAGATATTGATTAGGTCCCTTCTCAGTCTTCTCTTTTCACCTCTGAACAGCCCAGCTCCCTCAGCATTTCCTCATAAGGGAGATCCCAGTGCCTTCATCATCTTTGTTGCTCTCCACTGGACCTGCTCCAGGAGCTCCATATTTTCTGTCCTGAGGAGCCCAGGACTGGACACAGCACTCCAGATGTGCCTCACCAGGGTTAAGTAGAGTGGAAGAATCACCTCCCTTGACCTGCTGTAAAGATCATTCCAAAGATGTGAAAATTTTTCTGTTAAAGGTCATTCCTCAGCTCCCATATGGAGCAAGACCTTAAGGTAAAAAAATGCTGAAGGAAGAATTTTATACAGAGCTGAACTTTTGGGTAGTATATTGAAAAAAAGTGTATGCACTGGCTTGTGCTAAGAACTTGTTTGTAAATACTGTGATTTGTTTAATCCATAGCATTGGTAGTGTTTAGCTTACTCTCCCCACAAAGCTGACACACCGTGGCATTCTGTTATGGTGGGATGGGGACCCATGTGCAGTCTCCTGGCAGGCTGCATGGGATGTCAGTCAGCCTCACTCGGGTCAGGCCATTCCCAAAAGCTGGAGCTGGTGCCCAGGACCTGCAGCAGTGCTGGCTGGAGGGATGGCAGCTGTGTGACCACCAGGGGAGATGGGCACTGGCCCTGGCTCCCAGGGCAGACACAGAGCCCTGCAGCAGCACGCTGTCCCCTGGCTCTGAGGCAGGACATTCACACCTTACTGCAGCCACCAGGATCATGTGGGTGTGCTGGGTTTTGAGGAAGGTGGCTGGTACACACAACTTGAAAAATTACAGCCTCTTCTCTTGGCCACTTGAGAGTGCACAAACATCCCAGTCTGCCTGCTTTCAAGGCAGGCAGAAGGTAGACCCTGCGAGATGCCTGCAGTAAGCCCTGTGGACTGGAAAGGCCTCCCATCTCTTTTTTGGTGATACAAGCAAGAAGTTTCTGCATTAGAAACAACAATTTTAAGTGTTGTTGACATTTAGAGTGAAGGTCTCCTCCATTCCCTTCACATAAATAATGGAGAAAAAGGCTAGAATTGAGACTTAGGCTGATTCTCACTGTGTGGTCACTGTCTGCCTAATTTCTAACTATTTAGTTTTTCCAAATGTCTGAAAATTTCAGGGTCAACCTGAAGTCAATATGTACTGGTGTTCAGACAAATCATGAAGTACCAAGCTGGCTTTTGAATCTTCTGATGTTGTAAGGCCAAGTTGATATAATATGTCAAGATAACTCAGGATTCTTAGATAAATGTAGTTGACTCCTCCTCTAGATGGGAGAAAAATGTGCAGAGGCTTCTTGCTTTGTTTTTATAGTAAGAGTGCATGCATAGTGGTTGATAGATGAATGGGTTAAATAATCTTCCCACTCTCCCCAATGAAGTAAATTCTCCATGACAAAAAAAAATATATATAATAAACAGGCTATGGCTGCAGAAAACTGTTCTATATTGCTTGCCCTGCTGATGCTTGTGTAGACAACTTGGCCTTTCTTTTGTCCTTGCACAATTTCTTTCAGTCACTGACTTCCAGGCAGTGGCTGTGCACAAATCCTGTTTCTTGAAGCAGGAAGGAATTTTTCTTTGTAGTATTTGTTACGTGTACTTGCATTTGCATTATTTTCACTCAGTACATAGGTGTCTAAGGCAGACTGTGCTCATCACGCCTTCAGTTTCTTACCCTGGAGAGAGCATGTCTCATCAATTGACTTTACATAATACAGCTGCTTTCCTGGTGCCCAGTTTTCTTTAGTCACAGCCTGGAGGTGAGCCCTGATATCGGGTACCTGTGATAGTCTTTGCAGCGGGTGATTGCAGGTGATCCTCCACCTTGCCCCAGCTGTATTGAAAGATCCTGCCCGTGGTTCCTTATTGCTCCTAACTGCTTTGTGGTCTTGTGCAAGGTTGCAGGTCAGCCACAGCAGCATCTGGTGATCCTTCAAACCTTTCCCCAGGAAAATACAGAAAATACAGTAACTCCTTCTGGAGGAGGTCTTGTCTTTCCATCCTCATGCCAGCATCAAGGTTCAAGTGCAAGTGCCCACCTTAGCAACAGTGCAGTAGAGTTCCAGCTTAACCACAAACATCTAGGCCTGCGCCCTGCCCCAGACATTATCTTTTCCTGGCTTGTAGCTCCTGTTCCTGCCTTCCAAAAAGAGGGCTAGACCAGATGAACTTAGTGCCACTTTCATTCCTGATGTGGGTGAACACTTGACAGTGAAGTACTTTGTCTTTTATTGGGCTTTGTTTGGCAATTTTGAATAGTAACACTGAAATTTGTGCAACTTCCAAAACTTTTGGATGCCATGTATTGTTGGACTGTGGAGTCTGCTGAAGAGCTTTTTCCTATTTGTCCCTTCATAATCTGTTCTGAATGCTCGATATTGTTGTGTTTTGTTTTTGTTTGGGAAGCACCTCCATTCCAAATGCTGCCATATCCACTCCTAAAGTAGTTTTATTTCATTCCTGAGCAATCACTGAGAGGGCATTGCTAATTATCTTGCAAGATGAGTAAACCAGAATCATTTGAGTGCATCACTCAACTCTATTCTTTTAATGTTTTTTCTAAAATAGTCCATGGGATGCTCTCCAAGTAGTGCAGGGTGTAACTTGTGGGTGATAGAGCAAACCTGGCATAACAAAAGCTTGGTAGATGGGAGGTTGCAGCCCTTGACATGCAATCCTTTGATGTCTTCTCTGAGAATGTGGGGAAAAAAACATCAGTAAAGTATGCTGTCCAGCAAAAGCCAAGGTGTGAAGCAGGCCAAGGAGAGGACTGTGGCATGATGCCATAAGAGGTCACAGCAACCTACTGCTTTTAGGGCAGATTTAGGGGAATAGCATTCCTGTTGGAGGGGAAGCCTACTGCCCATGCATCAGAAGAAATTCTTGAGATGAAGGAGAACTAAACACCACTATTTTGTTATCAAAGTTGCTTTTACCCTTATAAATTGCCTCGTCCCTTGCTCCACTCCAAACTATGATCTGAAGGTCATCACACTCCCCAGCTTGCAATGGTTGGCAGGTGCTGTCAGTGCTGCCATATCAAAAACTCCCCCAAATCTCAAAGTAATTGTCAGAGTTTTCTGTTTATCACCTTTGTGTGTCTGGCCAGCTTGTTGTCAGGTTCAAAACTCTTTGACACATGGGCTGCCTTGAGCTCCTGTGTTTATCCCACACATTTGTCCTGTTGCTGCTGAGGAGGGACGCAGTGGAAAAGAACAGAATCTCCCCTAACTGTGCTGATTGCAGTAATTTGTGTCTGTCAGGAAAACTGTTTAAGATTGAGGTGAAAAATCACTTGTTGTCAGTTTTCTTAATGTTTCTGTACCGTTTTTAGTCTTTCATAAAGAAATGAGACTTATTTGTTCATTTTGACTGGTGTTTCACAAGAATTCTGAATTAGTTGATAGATTTGAGAATATTAGAATATTTGCTATCTCCCAAGCAAAGATGGAAGGGGACTAATTGTTCACAATCTTTCTCAGTATAGATAAAGCTCAGAAAAGCCATATTCAGAATTGCAAAGGGAAGTGATTGAATGTCCATATGGATCCAGGAGAATTCTGAGCTCATGGAATAGAAATCATTGCAAGTTACTAGATACAAGGAATCTATGTCTGATATATGAAATCCCTGATTTGAAAACAGTTAAATAGCAGTAGAGAATTTCAGGGAAGTAGATCTGTTTGCTTTGGTTTTGTTCTCCTCTTAGACATACGCTTAAAACCACAGGTAGAATCAGAATTTGGAGGCAGATGGATTTTTTGTCAAACCCTGTATAGACATTCTGAAGTTACTGATACATTTGTAAATACAGACGAGCCAGAGCCTTGCTGCTTCTTGGCCCTGGTTGGGTCATGGAAAGGAGTTTGGATCTCTCTGGGGGAGAGAGGTGGAAAAATTAGGGACAAATGAAAAATCTAGAGGGAAGCAGACTCTAAAGTTTCCATAGCCAATAGAATTATATATATGTAATCACTGTGCTTCTGCAACTTAATGCATTTAATTTGTGTGTGTGCCTAAGCTTGCATAACTTACATCCTCTGGTTGCTGCAGCTTTTGCAGGGTGTCAGTGTAGGCTGCAGTTCCATGAGCATTTCTTTATGCAATTATGGTGCTTTAATTGTAGAAAGACAGACTGAGGAACCTAAACTGAAAGTAACCCACAGAATAAAAAGCATCCGTTTTAGCCTGGTTCTGTTTCTGCATCCAGTTCACCACTCAGCCACATAATAGCTTTTCTGAAGGCCAGCAGTGACAGTGATGCTGACCTTTTCATGTCTGAAGTGTTTGTGAGACTGTCATCTCAGGGCAGGGGATATGAAATCACTGCTATAAAACGGACGGTGCGTGTTCCCTGTGACACTCTCCGTGCAAGGCAATTGCACGCTGCATCAGAATTTGGCACATAACGTGTCTTTGCAGGCTGTGTGTGAAGGTCATTGTCCAGAGAAAATAGGAATATTCAGCTTAGTGTTCCTCCCTAATGAGAACCTTTCAGTTCCTTCAAGTAACTGCTTCAGATGCTTTACTCCACATTGTTCCTCATTTCCGTTAGAAGCCAGAACTTGTTCCTAATGTCTTCTTCCTTTCTCCCCAGATAATCTGATCAAAGCCATCCTGTCAGCAACCAAAGATTATCGTCTAACTCCAGCTCTTGACAGGTAAGATGAGACCTTCAGAACAGAAGGAGTAGAAGTGATTCTTTTCCATATGTCCTAAATAAATTTTGTTAGACATATTTTGCCAGAGATTATTGCGAGTACATTTGAATGTGGATGAGTAAGTCAGGAGGTGAAAACTGAGTCCTCTTTAGAGTAAATCTGCAGACTCTGGAGACCTCTGTCAAGTCAAACATAAGTAGAAAAAAGCATTTAGCTTTTGACTATTTCCTACTCATTTGTTTCATATGTTGTTCCAAGACATGCTCTTGCCCTGTTTTCAAATAGGTAAGTAGCAGGTTTTCAATAAACACTTTGCTCTTTTCCAGCCTTTCTGACAAAGCAACAGAATCACAAGGAACTTTAGAAGGAAAGAAAGGGCTGGCTTATTTCAACAATGTTTTTCATTAATACCTCACTCTCAGAGTAGGAATGTTTGGTTGTGTTGGCCAAGCCTGTGCTAGGATGAACAGGATAGCAGCCTCCTGGGTCCTGTGATATTTGAATTGATGCCTTTAGAAGAAGATCCTTTGATTCTTCAGTTCTATTGTAGAGGTTGTTTCTGAAACTCACTGGCATGTTTACAATCAGCTTCCCAGTGATAGTCCTTTAGTCCTTCCTGTCCTTGCTTTTCTCATTCCTTCCATTTTTCCTGCAGGTTTGGTTTAGTGCCGCCTCCCAGATTAGGGATAGTTTTTTTCAGAAGCTGTCAGAGGTTTTTACTCTGGGACCTGAGCTCTTTTCTAAGTCCTGGTAATACATCTTTTCAGTGGTACTTAACCCAGGCTGACAACAGAGTTCCTGCTTTCTAAACACATGGGTTTTATTTCCTGGCCCAGCTCCCCTTCTGCCCACTTTTGGTGACAAAGTTCATAAGCTTAACCAGTCTTTCTGTAGGTCCCTGCATCTCTCATGCTGATTGTAGAGCTTGCCTGCTGTAGTTGGGAGTTACTATCTGCGTGAAAGCTTATTATTAGTCTTGCACAGTCTATGTGTTAATTTAGATTTCTTTGAAGTTTGCCTTGCCTCACAGCAGTGCCAGATAGGGTTAGCCTTCAGACTTTGGATTTGAGAAATTATGTCCAGAAGGTAAAACCATTTTACAGATGACCTTCTTAGGGATTTTGCGCACAAGTGAGTCTCACCCATCTGGGGTTTATCTCAGTTCTGGTTGGAGACTTAAGATTTTAATCTGTTGAAAAATCCACATATAGACTCTTTCAGAAGGTTGCTCATATGAAATTAGTGTTAATGACAGAGGGCAGGTGGAAGATTCTTGCAGGGAAGGTTAATGTAGTTGTGACCCTTGCTGCTCACCTGTTTTTGAGAATGTTTCAGGCTTTTTAAAAGTAATTTTGCAGGAGATTCCAACGCATAATGACTCTGGCATGAGCTGCTCACCTTGGTTTGTGTTCTTTTTAATGAGTTTGGTGCAGAGGTAGGAAAGATCTTAAGGCTCATAAAATGTATGCAAAATCCATGAGATACCAAGTGCAAATGAGACCTCAGGAACAGGCTAGACATTTATTTCTCTGGTTTTGCAGCAACAAGGCTTGGTGGTGTGTAAACACACAGATATCTTGGGGCAGTACTGCTTCCTTGGGAATTGGGATAAATCCCTATCAGTGGATGTTGGTTGTGTAGCACATATGCATCACAATCCAATATGTCCCAAAGCCCTCCTAAGTGAGCATGTCTTAGGAAGGATAAAAACAGAAGTGTTTATGAGAGAAAGGGACTCAAGGAGGCTTGGGATAGCAAGCTGGAAAGTGAGAACCTAAAGAAGGAGGTGGATGGAGTTGCAACAGAGGAGTTTTATTAGGAGATAGAGCTTGAGAACTGTAGCAGGTGTTAAGTCCGCCATAGTGCTGCTCTGGCAAACCAGCTTGGTGAGTAGGGCACAAGTGAAGACTTGGGTATAATTTCAGAAATAATCTTCATTTGTAGTCATCACTGAATTCCAGTGCTGGCAGCAATGGGTATCTGCCATTTTGGGTTCCTAAAAAGCTGGAGGAGAAGACTGGTGGATGAGGGCTAGCTCCTTTCTCATCTTGTCTCAAGCTCCAGGTGTATCCTAAGAGTTCCCCTCCATGGCAGCACCAGTGTGTCTGGGGCAGAACCTTGGGTTTGGCTGCTCCCTTCCTGCTCACTGGTCAAGGAGAAAGCCCAACCTCTCCCCTTTGCTCAACACCTTGAAGCAACTGGAGAAAGCCTGACTTAGAGGACCTTGAAAGGTCCCTTCCAACCTAAACCATTCTCGGTTCTATGATAGAGAACTGAGAAAATGTCCTCTTGTGGAAGAATTAGATAAGAGACACAAGTCAAGTCTGTGAGGTTCAAGGAGTTGGGCTTGGAAGATCTTGTGAACCCTTCCACTTGTAGGCTCTCAGAAGTCTAGTGGGCTGATTCTAGAAGCAGGAAAAAGGCTCCAGATTCACCTTCTTTTCAGAATGGAGTTACACCAACGTTTTCTCTGTTGGCAAGTCTAAGAAGCCATATTTGCAACTGGTCTAAGAAGCCATATTTGCTACTGCTGCTCCCCTTCTCCTTGTGCTGCTGCTATTGTTTAAAAGGGGACTTCAAAGCAGATCAGTGAGATGGTTCCAGTTTATGAGCTTTTCTCTCAACCCAGGTCATTCCAGTGACTTCATTTCCAGAGTCCCCTCCCACTGAAGAGTTGTGTGGGCACAGAGCTGAAACGGCAGCAGGAGAGGCAGAGGCTGGGATGGGTGGGGAGGGTGAGCACTGCCCAGCCCATTGGAGTAAGTGTTCGTGTAACTATACACTGAAGGCAGCTTTCCCAGGGGAAGGGTGGGAGAGGCAGGAAAGGTGAGGTCAGAGCAGTGCGTGACAGCACAGAAAGGAAGGAGAGGATTAGAGTTGTGTGGTGGAGGATCTCTACACCAAGCCTTTGGTTTTGTTCCTATCCAAGCTTCTCCATTTCTGCCCTCCTTCACAAAGCTGGTCCTCGAGAAGTTGCATTCACTTGCCTCTCATAAGCCCTGGAAATGAACTTTGTTTGATTATTCCTGTGCTAAAGGGCATCCTGATGCACCTTTCCTGACACAATGTACTGACATGGTGCTGAAATGAGGCAAACGTGATCCTTCCAGGTATGCGTGCACTTTTCATCATCCCACAGCAGCTTTGCCAACTCACTTCTACTAATCCCTCCATTGTGTTGTAGCTAGCAGCAGCTGGAGGGCATGTGCACAAAGGCTGTGGTTCACACCTGTAACACAGTGTGCATGGTGCCCTGCTTTCTCCATGACTCCTTATTACAGCACCGTTGTGTTGAGTAGTAACCTGCTCCTGCTCCGGGGCAGGGGGCAGGAAAAGCTGCACTGATGTTCAGGAGGGCAGATACAACTCACCCCTGGGCTTGTCTGGAAAAGTTTGGAGATCCAGGAGACTTTCTCTAGAGCCATTGACCTCTTCCTTCTGAGCTGGCATGTCTTTCTCCCTAACACAGGTGTCAGTGGGTCTTTGAAACTTCTTGCCCTCCATTGGCTTTTCCAGGCCCTCTTATATTGCTGAGATTCTCATTGCTTGATTTAGTGGCTCCTCCAGTGGCCTGTCCCTCATTCTGCAAATGGATCAGGACTTGATTTATAATTCCACAGCCCATCTGCTGGCTGGACTTCAGTGGATTTTTGGGTTACATCTCTGTGGTGATGACATGTAAATTTCCTATGAGAAGACATAAATATAAAAGCCTGAGTGATGTTTTTTGTATTGCCTCCAGCTGGTAATGAAAGAATGAGAGTTTGAGCTTATAACTATCATAGTCTTTACAAATGCAGTATATTACCCGAACAAGTGAGGAAAGGATTTGATAGAACAAGAGTGGTGTGTGTCCCCCTCTGGTTCAGGCTGATAGCACCCATTTAAGTAACAGAGTATGTTAAGCCTCCTTAAGCACCAGCTCCCCTAAAGATGTATTTTTAATTATTCTGTTATATCTTTCCTCAAAGCCTTTAGATCCAAAGTTGTGTTAAGAAAGGCTTTGTGGTTTTTCTCCCCTGACAAATCCCTAAAGCACTTTGATAAGAGAGAAGAGGAAGTGGGAATCGCTACAAAGTATACACATGTTTACAGTTCTATATTGTTCAAGAAAATCTGCATGAATCCTGCTTTTGGTGGAGATGAACTGAACCCTGGAGTATCTGTGTCAGGAGTCTGTACATCTGGCTGCAGCTCCCAGCTTAGGGCTTTAGGGAGTATCTGTTGTGGAAAGTCCATGACCGTCCTTCATACCACCCTGGTAGCAAACTGAAACATGGGCTGTGTCTGATGTGCTCAATCCTTGCAATCTTCTGGAAAAGAAATAGGGCTTTGACATACTGTGTAAACAAGCACAAAGGTGTTTGCACACTTCTTTGTGGAGAAACAATTGATCTGTAACTGATGCTGCTTGCACTGTGTATTTCTTCACCCAGACACTTGCCCGGAGCCAGCAATGACTGTGCAGGTTTCCCATGCTCAGGCACAATCAGTAGACAGAGTACATTTGAAAGAAATTTAAGCTGTTAGAAGATCAAAGATGAGACTTTAGGGTCAGAAAGTTACTAATGAAAAATCTTACCTGCAGACTTAAGGAAAAAGGAGAATGCATTTAAATATGTCAGAACCATGAGGGTAGAAGAGTGGTTCAGACATGAAGCTGGGCAAAAGTGATTAACCTATCAATTACAGTGAGTAAAGGCAGAACCATTCAGTTAAGAATTTGTTTCATTTTTGGGAGTAAAGATAGAAAGATGTCTCATTTTGCGGCAACAGTGAAATACCTAGTGATTCTTTTATTAGTAACTACAAGGATATTAAATGACAATTCTATGTCTTTTAAAGTCAGTAAGCACTGAAGAGTTAAATAAAGAATTCTTGTTGTTATTACTGTTTGCTATTTAGCCCTTCCTGGAATATTTGAGAGAACAGCGAATGTTGTGCCATTCCTGGAGAAACATGGGAGATAATAAAGAGGTAGCTGTAAGTTGATTCATTTGGTTTTGCAGGAAAAATCCTGCAGAGGATAGAGCCAGGATGGCAGCATAACTGATGTTTTGTTACTTTGGGTTTGTGGAGATTAAATCTTGCCATACAGAAGATATATTTTTAGAGGAACTAGAAGCTTGAATGGTAAAGGTAAACTTTTAGAAGCACACATTAGTTATTTGTCTCAGTCCATTATGTTCTGTTTCTATACTACACCATTTAGAGGTATCCTTTTTAGGAATAGAATATGTTACACAGCTTAAAAAATTATTGTCAGTGTGGAGAATTAATCCTTTAGTGACACTTGTAGTGAAATCCTGCTGGCAGGTGTTCACAGGGGCTAAACCAGTCTGGAGTAAATGTGAAATTCCACTAGGAAAATTTTCCAGAACCAAAGACTGGGAAAGTAACGAGCAGAAGGGCCAAGTCAGTCCTGACTATTTTGTTGCATCCTTCACTGGAGCCAAATCAAAAATCAGGCATCACCAAGGCAACGATTCAGGTCATGTTTACAAGATGAGGATTAAATTCTGCAAACCAGTGACTGTAAGAAGAGGATTGGAATGATGTAAGTAAAATCTCTGTGTAAAAGGCGCTCTACCTTGAGCAGCATTAGCTCTGAATGCTGGTCTTCCAGAATCAGTACTCAGGAGATCTGGGAAGAAGTTGAGAATTGTCCAGGGACGTGCTGCAAGTGTGAGTCAAGACCTAGAAGAGCTGCCATACCGTGCAAGATCTCATGAGCTCACTGCAGTTTGTTTGGTGAACAGAAGATTAGGAGTGGGGTTAGATCAATCGATGAGTCCTGTGTGGGAGCAGGGCCATGAAGCTGCTGGAACAGCTTTGGCTGGTGGAACTGGTTCTTCTGTCTCATGTGCAGCAGCTCATGCTCACCAGTCTGCCCTGTGAGAGGCAGATATTTGTACACAGTGCTTTCTCAGTCCATGGATCTCATGCAGATGTGGAAGGGACTGCTGACAGTAGATGGTGCTTTAATTTAGCAGGAAAGCGAAGAAGGTGATTAAGTGGTTTGAGGTTGAAACAAGCAGATCTCTATTCAGAATTGGTAGGAACATCCTAACAGTAAGTGGGAAGAGGATAGAGTGGAGTGCCTGGAGCCTGCAGCCTTTGGATTTCAGCTCTTTATTCTTCTTCAAAACAGAAAATTCAAAAGGAGTCGTAGCTGAGAGACAGCTGAGTAGAGAAGGTACAGTATTTCACCCAGAAGTTGGTTTTTTAGGAGGTTAAACTTTCCTGTCATAATCATCAAAAGAGTGTGTTTCCTTCTGAAATATCACTTGGCCAGAATTGAACTATGTCTCTTTCTCCCTCCTACAACACCTTTTCCTTAAAGGTTTTGACAAAGCTGCTACCATCTTTGTCACTCATTTTGGTGTACTTGGGGCTGACTCTCCCTTCCCTCTTTGTCACAATATACTGCCTGAACCAGATCTTGAGTCTGATTTCTCCTCATTGCCAGAACTGGTTTGCTTGGGGTTTTTTTGCTATGCCATCATCTATAAAATTCTTTCTCTATTGTGGTTTGATTATCATAAACACACACATTTCTTTAGCCCTTGGGGATACTGGGCTAATATGTTCATCTGCATGAGGAAGTTTTTTCTTTTGGAAAGGCTTGGATCTGCAGTGGAACTTTATCTGGGCAGGGGAAGCTGTTCCTGAGCATTTCTTGGTGCTGTTAATTCTGCACGTGTCTCCAGCTAATGCCTCTGTCAGCAGAGTGACCTTCAGTGGTTTAGCTGAGTCTTTTCAGTGCCCTCCAGCCCTGCTCTGCAAAAAGGGACCCCACATAAACACAGCTTTCCTCATGCTGGCTCTTGACACTTAACACAGAGAGGACAGCCCAGAAGCAACCAGTTGACTGTGCCTGGGACTAGGAAGGCTGCCTAGTTCAGGAATCTGCTCCAAACAACTGATTGCCTTGGACCCTTTCCGAAAAAGGCTCTGCAGACACGTATTCCTTCAGTGAACTACCAGAGCCGGAGGCACACTGCCAGAAGAGCCAGCTGCATTTGGGATTAGATGGCTGGAAAGAAGTCCTTTCTCTGTCTTCAAAACAAAATCGCTTTTTAACATCTGCTGCAGAGTTCTCGTGACTCAGGGTTCCACGAGAAACTGTTCTCTTCCTTCTCTTTCCTGTTTCTTTGTTAATTAAGGTTATTTTCCTTCCCTTTCCTCACCTATTGTGTCTCCATATATATTTCCTGCTGGACAGGCATGTGGGGGGGTGTCTTTTTTTCTCTCAATTGAATGTTTTTCTGTCTCTTGAAGTCTCACCATAACAGCAGCAATTTTGCTCTCAGCAAGGTGAGCACACCCCAGACACCTGGCAAGATCTGCCTGCACTCATGAAATCACTTGGAGAGAAGACTTCCTCACTAAGCCTTTGGTTTATTGTTGTTTCAGTGCTGAATGAATAATGAGATGGTTCAAGTAAACAGATGGGTTTGATTCAAGCCCATCATACCAGGGGTGTGGGGGGAGAGGAGCTGCTTGTCCTGACAGCTCATTTCATTAGGCCACACGTGGTGTGAGGTGTTGAAAGCAATTTATCACATGTAATGCCTGGGCATGATGAGGTGAATTGAGGATCAAGTGTATCTCTGCCCCCCTCTTAATTCTTCATATTTACAGAGGTTTTCTGTAGTTCTCAGATGCATGCAAACTAAATATGTGCTCTCTGTGTGTTTGAAGTTCTGCTACAAAAATCACTTCTCTGTTTCTTCCACAGTCTCAGCTGCCGGCGATGTATTATTGTGGGAAATGGTGGAGTACTTGCAAATAAGTCATTGGGGTTAAAAATTGATGACTATGATGTTGTTGTCAGGTGAGTCTTTGGCATTACAGTTCTTTCCCATATTCAGTTTCTGTGTCAGTTCACTTGCTATGCAGGCAGACTTTAACCTGTACTAGTGACAGTATCCCTTTGTATGGAAGCATTAACTTACAGGGAGAGTAAAAATAGACATGAGCTTAAAAAGGTTTGTTATAAATGACGATCACATCAAAGGGTAAAGGCATTCCTCAAGCTTTCTGTTTTCCACAGCTTCTTGGGAATGTGGTCTCTTGTATGATATCATTTGAACCTTCCCTTCATAGCTCCTTTCTAAAAGCTGCTTTTGTGATGCCCTTAGGTGGTCAAGCAGTAACTCACACTGCTGGATCTGCTCCCAGATATATTCCTGTGGTAGCTCAGGACAGTATTAATGGTCATACATGTGTAGCATTCCCCAGGAACTGCACCTCACAGGATGGGCAGGACTAAGAGTGGTGCAGCATAGGGTGTTAGGAAGCAGGAAGCCTTTAAGAGAGAGGACCCAGCAGTGATTAAACACCTGTAAGTGTGCCCTAGAAACTGGCAATACTTTGGCTCTGTGTCTCTGCAGATGACAATGTTGAATAAGGCAGCAGAAACAGAGTGGTGGGAGTGCCAAGGACCACAGTCAGAGTCAGGGCTTCTTGCTTTTGCTGAGGACCTGGATCATGGCCCTCTCAGAATGCCTGAAAAACGTGCTGATATGTGAAATCACAGGTCTAGTCATAACTCTCAGTAATAAATCTGTCAAGTCAGGGAGGCGTTCTGGGTGACTGGAGATTAACAAACATAATACCTGTACTAATGGAGAGTGAGAGAGTGCGTGTAGGAGGGAGGGAGGATGTGCTCTAGGGAGCTACAGACCCATTAGTCTGACCTGAAAAAAAATGCACTTTTCTATCAGGTTTTGAGTAACAAAATATTATTATGGTAAATTGTGAAAGTGGGATAAACTGCAATGTAAGTTTATAAAACTGGTTTAACATAGTATAAGTTGGTATTTTTTTCTTAGTGCAATAACTGATTTTGTATTAAAAGAAATATATCTGATATAATCTCTCTCAATTTTAATCAGCTTTAAGACATGGTGGCAAATAGCAAGTTCTTTGCTAAAGGTAGAAGAAAGAAAGGGATTAATAAAGGAATTTAAAGCAGGTATTATTTATCACAGTCTCTATTCTCTCCTATGTGTAAGGAAAGAATAGGACAGACAAAGAAAAATAAATATCCTCTAACTCTGGACAAATAGACCAAGAAGATCCCTTTCAGTCTTTGGTTCCTGTGAATGGTTCCCTGCTTCTCCATGAGTATGCTGGACACAGGGATGGCCATTCAGATCAGGACAAAATTTTTACAGCCCTTCTCCTAGCTCATCCCACTATCAGTTGATAACAAAGAGCTCTTATTCCTCATCATAGTCGGGTGACTTGTAGTTATTTCAGCTGAATTAAAATGCAGTTTTTAGCCTTTCCTTGGGCTCAGGTTATTAAAAAAGTAGCAAAAGAACAGTTTCAATCCATCTGGCCTAAGCCACCCACTAAGATTTACATCAGAAAGGCCACTATTTAATTTTGAAATGAAAACTTCAACTTTTCCTCTCCACATCAGTAAATCTATGTCAGTTTGCAAGCTGGGAGGATAAGAGGGCAGCTAAGCACCTGTGCTGTTGGTGGGATGGATAAAGGAGAGAGAAGTCAACTGTAAAGGTTAAATGAAGCCAGGTGCTTGGATATGTATCCAACTGCTTGCTTTATTCCTGTGGAAGCTGGGGAAGTCCATGTATTATAACATCCTTTTTCATACACTGAAGAACTTCTTTGAAGGATGATATTTGGGACCTAGGGAGTGAATTTTAAATGAAAAAATGTGGTACATTTGTGGACAAAGGAGTGATCCAGCAGTATGTGGAGTTCTTTGATGCCTTCTGTGTTACCATGTGAGGATTGCTAATTGCAGCAAGAAATTTTGTTCTTTGCAGTGAAGATAGTCCAATTCAACTTTGTCAGTTCTAAAAGAGCTTGGAGTGAGTTACTGTTTTTCTTTAGCTAGACACTATCAGATTTCAGTGCAGATGTTATTCCCAGCTGTCACGCCATTTACCTGGCAAGACTTATTGCAGCAGTCAGTTGTCAGTGCTCTGAAATGACTCCTTAGAATAGATTGCAGACTGGGCAAAAATAAGTATGTATCAGAAATTCCTGATTAGAACCAGATAGGGATTCACCTGATGATGATACTTGAGTGGTGTCTGAAAGGATCTCTATGGTGGCAGGGTTAGGAGTTGGTGTCTCCATATGTAATCAGTGAACATAGACAGAAAAACCCTCTGGAACTTCTTGTGGAAAAAACTGCCTGTCCACAGGCAGTACAAGGAGGCCTGAGATCCTAACTGAGGTTTTCCAAGATTCAGCTGTGTTTATAAGCACAGTGCATCCTGCCTGGGAGGGGTTTGGGCTGTGGAGTCTGCACCTTTGGGTGCTGTGGCTGCCTGAACTCTCCCTGCTCCATTGCCCTCGCTGCCCTGGGCCTTGGTGGTGCTGGCTCTGTCACTGTGGCTCCATCAGCAGCTCACACTCTGGCCCTTTGCTGGACACCTGAGTTCATTTCCCTTGGGGGAAATGGTTTGGGTTATTTCCTGTCTAGATACTAAGCAGGGCTCCCAAGTTTTGAGAGTATTAGCAAAGTTAGCAGCAAAACAGTGAACCCAGCAGCTGGGGATGGGAAAAACCCCGCCAAAGAGTGGCACAGTGACATTTGAAACAGCTGCAGACACCTCCTCACCCTAAAGAAAACAGATGAAAATATGTAAAACTTGCTTTCTTTGCAGAATATTGGTAGTACTCTGTTACCTTTAGAGCTGCATGCTTTTGCTCTGTATAAGGTCATGTGCCCCAAAGAGACACAACACCTTAAAGTTTAAATACTCCCCACAGAAGAAGTGAGTGGTGTGTGAATGTGCCATCAGCAACAGAGGAAAGAGCAAGGGATCAGGCTGGCTGGAAGCATTGTATTCAGGTCTAGTTCCTCAAAGTCAGGCTACAAAGAATTTATAAACCATGGGAAGAGACTTCATCTGCTGTATTCATTGTGGTGGTGCTGATTCTTAAATTGTTTTGCCTTTAATATTTTATTCCTGATGATAAAATAAGTATTTTTGCTAAAAATGCTTAAGAATGTATTTCTCTAGATTTGCATATGATTTTCAGATTGTATAGAGATTTTTATTCTACTAAAGTTTTCCGATGTAAAATGCTTACCCAGGTTAAAAAAGACAAATCCAACATTCCTACATGGCAAAATTTGTAGTATATTGAACAACGCCAAATTCAGGAATGCTGCAAAAATTCAGGCAGGCAATCCTGTTCTATCAGAGGCTGCTGTTTGATGTCAGCAAGATTTGTATTCCAAGTTACGTGAAAATTCCTCAGCTTTGGGTTTTTAGTCTTGAATAGAAATTCTGAAAACTTTAATGTCATTTCATTGTGGCTATTTGGCTATAAGCCAAAGCAGTTTGCTTTTTCAAGGGAAAAAACTTTGTTCCTAAGGAATGTTTTAACAAAAGCACAGCTAAATACGTAGCATCTCCTTAGAAATCAGTGTCCCCAAGAGCAAAGCTGTGTGACTGCTTGAGTGTTTTCAGAGTGGGATGCACTTCCACTGCAGAAACTCCTTAGAGCTCGTGAGACTGCAGTGGTGCTGAGCCTTGCCCCAGCCCAGCCTCTTCCTTTGTGCTGGCATTGCAAGGCAGCTCACCCTCCTGATGGACCAGTTTGGGGAATTAAAGAGGTGCAGATTGATCCTATGGGATTTTTTTTTGAGAATTATTAGTGGCTTATTTCCCTGTGCAGCCTCACTGCAGGTGAGTGGTGTAAGCTCTGGGCTGGGGTTGGAAAATGAGACTAGTTTCAGTTTGTTTAAACTGATGAGGAGCTTCATCATCTCTTTCAGCACAGCCTTGCAGAATCCAACTAACACATCAAAGGAGCAATGGGCCGTTAAAATATTAATGCTTAGTTTGTTACTCTAAATGTGCAAGAACAATATTCTTCACTTTCCTTTTCCAAAGCCTCCAACCCTATTTAGATCACAGGAGTTGATATGCAGAAATGGTTTGCATTATATTCAATGATAGAATTTATGTAACTTCTAATTAAGCTGTCGTCACTTGGTACAAACCTCCATAAGTGTTTGTGATGAAGAACTGCAAGAATTAAGATTTGCTACTGTAGCAGCTGCTACAGGGAGCTCCTGCCCAGCAGTGATTGCTGTGTCACCAGCACACAGGAGTGCAAGTGTGAGTGTAAGTGGGAATCTGTGACAGTGTCTCCTCTCTGGTTGCCCTGCAGGCTGAACTCGGCTCCAGTGAAGGGCTTTGAAAAGGATGTGGGTGGCAAGACAACACTCCGGATCACATATCCCGAAGGTGCAATCCAGAAAATGGAGCAGTACGAGAAGGATTCCCTGTTTGTCCTGGCAGGATTCAAATGGCAGGATTTCAAGTGGCTGAAATACATTGTTTACAAGGAGAAAGTGGTAAGAATGCTGTCAGCTGACACTGTGAAGGTCACCTAATTGGTAATGATGGGCAGACATTGTGTCACCATCATATCTGCCACATTTTGGTCTGAGGAGAGTTCCATTCTGTGTCCTGCTGCATTTAAGTGAAGACTTTCTTTACCTACAAGGACTTTAGCTTTAATTAAGTATATTTTACAAAGACATCGCTGTAATCTGTTGCATCACAAATGAGGCTTGCTATTCAAGATTGTTAGTGTGTACTATGAACAATTAAATTAATTTTTAGTTACCTTAAAGAGTATTTAAAAGGACCAGCTTTTGCGTGGATTTTATGGACTCTTAGGATTTGAGAGCAGAGGAAGGAAGAGAGCAATGGGAAAGGGAAGAAATGGGAGTTTGGGAACATGGATGTGATATCACAGGAGGGGAGGAGGAGACAGCAGCAGCACAACTTGTTGAAAAGGCTACAATCAGCCTTAATGTGACCTCCTGAATTGCACAAGCCATTATATTTTGCTCAGTTACTGAGATTCATGATTTGTGTTTGGTTAAAGTATCATCCAGAACAACAGTATCAAGTCTCATTTTAAAACACTGAAATAGTGGATACACTGCCTTCCCCATGTAAAAATTTTACCCCCTCATTTGCATGAGTGCACTTCTGAAGCACCATGGACCTGTTAATAATCAGGGTTGCTCTCTTTAATTCACCTTCCCAGAACAGAATCAGGTTGTGATCAATTACTTCTCATTCAGTGGATTGTTTGTCTGTCAGGAAATCCCAAATAAATAATGTGTATAGTTCTTGTTTTACAAATCTTTTATATATACATATATGTATCTGTTTTCAAATGTTGCTTAATGACTTTTCAGCCATTAAGCAGAACTGGATCAGCATTCAGACAACTGGATCAGCATTCAGGGCATGGCATATTATATTGTGTGTTTAGAGACAGAGAGAGGAGGTTGGCAGCTCACCACATACATAACTAAACAGTCTGGGAATATCATTGTATACAGTTGTTACACAGAGGGCCTTAAGGGCTCATACTCTGCTCTTGTCTAACACTGGCACCAACTTGCAATTATTTTCTTGCTACCAGACAGATGAAGTTACCTGTCAACCTCTGGGCAAGCACAAGTGGGCTTTCATAACATGAATAATTGAGTCAAAAGTAATTTTCTTTGCTTTATGTCAGGCTCTTGTTCCTCATTCAGGGAAAGGGAAAGCCCTGGCAGTGTCAGTGCCCTGCAACCCAAATGCAGTTGCAGGGACTCCTAGTGTTTGGCTTGAAGCTCAAAGGATGGGTTGGTTTGCTTCAAAACAAATTTAATTTTTCCCTGATGCTTGCAGTCAAGTCATCATCAGTAGATTCTTGTGTGGTATCCCCTGTTCTTGGAAAGGTGCAGAAAATAGTCTGTTAAAACCTGCTAGACTGGGGAGAGTGATTGCAGTTCTCTTAGCTGCGTGCATCAGTGCCCATATTGGCAGAGAGCAGAAAGAGCTTCAGCTTTGTGCATTACTTCAGTGTTCTTCTGATTGGCTCCTTACCCTTCAGTTCTTCAGAATAAACACTCTGAGGTTTTTTCAGTTTTTTTGGGTGATGTTTTCCAGATCTCTTAATTCCTGTTGCTCTTTTGAATGTTTGTAGTTAATTCATCTTTTTCTTAAAGAGCAGTGCCCAAAAATGTACAGACTGCAGCAAAAAGGAGGAGCAAACAGATAATTCATTAACCTCACAGTTCTCATTCTTTATGCATCCACTGTTTCTGTGGCCTTTTCCACAATGGCATGGAACTGAAGGTGAGTGTTGGGTTCCTGCAGACTCCAGGTCTCAGGAAGAGCTGGAGAGCAGCCACTTCCCCCACTCCACACCCTGTGCTGGTGCTGTTGGCTCCTCGTGCCAGAGAGCAGCACTGTGCACTTGTCCCTCCTGATCCTTCCTTCCAGAACACTCCTCCAGTTTGCCAAGTTCCTTTGGCAGACTTCCCAGCATACGTGCCATTCTTTCCAGATTCATGTCCTCTGCAATTTAATAAACATACTTTTCACTTCATCATCCAGGTTGATAATGAAAACACTAAACAATGTTGGTTCCTAGGCAGACCCCAAAGTATTAACATCCTTCCATTCCTCGAGTGAGCCCACTGAGCCTCCTGGATAGTTTTTTGGCCACTTCTGGACTTGTATCACACTTGTATCATCAATAATGCTTTTGGCATGTTTGTGAAAGTGATCTGTCAGAAGTTTTACTGAATTCCAGTTCGTGTCTTACTTCTCCCCTGAGATAATTTTTTTGTCTGTATAAAGAATTTTTTAAAAAATAATTCTCTCTTGACAAATCCACCTGGGCTGCTACTCAGTCTGCTTTGTTGTTTTGTTGGTTTTTTTTTTTTTTCAGGTGCTTACAAATAATTAATCCTGCTATTCTGGGAATTGAAATCATAATTCAACTCTCTTCCCTTTTTTGCCTTATTAAGTCTAGGCACTACTTCTGTCCATTTTTCAATCCCCCTACTTTTTTTTGGGTTTTGATACCCCAAAGGGAATCAATGCTAGTTCTTGAGACTGCTGAGCCAGTTCATCAAGTACTTTAGGATGCAGCCCAGGTGGCTGGAAAACATCTGCCTTGTGCTCTCTTGTGCTCTCATCTGATTTCTCTCTACTTGAGGCTGAGATCTTGCTGTCACTGGCTTTAGCTGCAGGCAGGTGGCTCACACAGCTGCATTTTCTGGAGGAAACCAATGCAGAAAGTGCTGTCTCTTAGACAGGAATGACCCAATGGAGGATGAGCAGTGCTATGGGAATAGCACGTAGGCGTCTGTTTGTTCTGGTAGTGAGTGTTGGTATTTTCATCAGTGTGTGGTAGGTTCAAAATGACAAATGCTCACTTGTGTGTCAAGAGTTTGTTTCTCTCTCAGCTGATTTTCCAGAGAAAGGGGAGTTTCTTCCTTTCCTGGATTTATGTAGAGGCACTTGCATGACCTGAGAGCTCTGTATGCCACTACTGCTTATTCCTTATCTGACATGTGCATCTGCAAGACTTCGTGCAGACACACTGCAAACCAGTGGTTACAGTCAGGACTCTGGCCTCAGGATGGAGAAAAGGAAAATGGAAGCATTCTGCTAAAGAACAAAACTGCTGTGGAAGTTGATGCATTCCTCGAAAAAATGGGCTGATCTCTATCCTCTGATGTTTCCTTTGTCTGTGACTGTTGGTGGCAACTGCATCTGTCCATGGTACAGTCACAGATGGGTAATGAGACCTTCTGAATTCCTTCAGGCACCTGGAGCAGCTTGGACTTGCTTGACCAGGTACTGGGATCCTTGCTTAGTCCTCTCTTGAGTAAGTGAAATCAAAGGGAGCTGAGTGGAGAAAGAGTAAATGAAAGGCGAGTGGCTATTTATTGCTGGGTCAGTGGTCAGATCAGCTTATTCTCCCTGCAGCTGAGAGGGATTTGCTCTGTGTTGTGTTGGTCTTTTAGCAGCACTTGCATACTGAGAAAGGGATAAGTGCTGTGTAGAGAGGAGGATTTTCAGGAGATGTTTTAAGGAAAAAGAATTAATGTGATGCAGAAGCATTAGCAGAATAGTGAGGCAGGGGATTTTATGTGTTACGTACAGTCTGGTGCAACAGCCTCCCTGATATTTGTTTGGTGCCTTAGTGCCCTGGGAGACACTGTGTCCAGAAGGAGGAGCAGTGGAATTTGGACATAAGGAAATGTAAAAGCTCAACTACTTTTTATTTCACACTAAACCAGAAAAATCTGGAAGCAAGTAAAAACTTGAGAGAAAGCATTAACTTGAGAGAAAACATTAACCTAGAAAAGGGTAGGTTTGGCTTAATGTTCACTGTCAACAGCAAAACAAATGTAGTCTCCATCACAGAGTTCTGGCTAACCTGGCACTCCAGATTGAAGTCTTGTAGGAAGATAGAGCATAATGTATCACCAGAGAAGGTAGACCTGCCTTTAAGAAAGGGGAAGGGTGAGTGAATCCAAGTGACTAAAACACTGGTAACCTGATTTCAATCATTTGACAAGCATTGGAATAACTAAAAGAGAAAATCATAGCACTGGTTGCAGCTAGAAGTAGTATGGGATGGAGAAAGGTGGCATGATTAGCAGAGGGGAGTATTGCACCATGCTGACCTAATAAGTCAGTGTCCAAGTGGAAAGGAAGTGGGCTGGAGTCCCAGAGCCTGCAGTTCCATGAACTCATGGCTGTTGCAGAAGGGTCACAGATGTGAGCTGTTCGTGCCTCTGTGGTGGCTGGTCTGGCTGTGCTGACTTGGAATCACTGCTGTAGGAGCCTGTGACACATCCAGGCACCCCTTTGCTGATGAAACAACTGCTGCCACTGCATCACCAGAGCGGGATTACTCATGGACAGTCACTCAGAACAGTTAAACTTTCTCCTGGACTGTTATTTTTGCCAAGAGACATGATCTATATATATTGTAACCCACTCCAATGCTTCCCAGTGCTTGTACTCCTGCATCTGCCTGGGCCTTTCAGTGACAGAAACTCTTTCTGAATACACAAAGTACCAGAGGAATTGCAGAGGGATAGAGGCTTGGTCATATGTTGCTTCTTAAAATAATGGTCAAAAGCTGAAAGTTTCTCTGCTGCATGGAGAGTAGATGCTTCCTGAAACAAACAGGACTTTACAAGCTCCAGATATGCAAAGCAGCCATCTCAGCCTGGTACTGAGGCCAGCTCCAGGGTGGTTTCTTGGCTGTCATTAGTCAATTAGAGGGAGCTCTCTGGCTTGCTCACATCCCTGAACATCTGGCACATGGCAATGAAGCTGCCAAGTGAGGGCAAAGGTGCCACTCAAAATTGGCAGCTCACAAGCTTCCTGCTCATGTGTTAATGAGCCTGTGGATGATCCCAGTGGGAATCTCTGCAGCCTTTGCCAGGAGGAGTCACTTGTGCAGAAAGTGCCTGTGGCACCCAGAAGTTCTCTTTGATAGTGAAAGTCACAGGAGCAAGTGAGCACCTGCCTGTGAGTG